GCAGCGTCTTGTTGCTTTGCTGCCGATTAGTGGTCGCTGTGGATGCAGAGACTGAGAAGCCGTTTCGGCCCACCTCACATTCGATCTTCCTGCCGCATGGACAGGCAACAACAAGGCAAAGCAACTCAAGTCACTTAGTCAGGACATGGATCGGCAAGTGGACAACTTCTGCTGGGTGCAAAGAACAGCCATGCAGAGATCGCCTGCGAAAGCCGAACGATGAAGTTGCTCAGGTGGGATTTCAGTGGTTGTGATTCTTGAGAGTTTTCCACGCCCAAGCAAGTACCAATGGCTAGTCAGTCGAGTTTCTCCGAAAGCGTTGAGTGGCGTGCAGCTATGCGATGAGGATTGTCATCGTTGCGACAGCCACTATGATGCTGTGGCTCACCGTCTTCTGGACCGGTCAGTTCTCGGTCCTTCCTTTGCATCGGTTGACGGGCTGACTTGTGAGTTTGAGGATGCAGCAAGTGCTGCAGCAGATCTCCTGCTTGATTGGGTGACATTGTTAAGGTGCCGGACCGAGGCTTGCATCCGTCGAGCCCAAGCGCTGATTTTGAGTCTTTCAGCCCCGTGTTCCGAAGAACTTGAGACGTTATCGCAGACACAGGCAAAGCTTGGCTGTTGCTTTTTTGCAGGACGCTCTTCCTCGCGCCCGTGGAGACGGCACACCCTCTTTATGCCCCCATTACGACCGTGCCGCTGGTCAAGTTTTGTCTAGATGGAGATCCCCGGATGGCAGTATGCTGATGTTGTGAAATTGGCAGTGTTTTCGCAGTATTCTGCGCCAAGGCCGGCCGGAGGGGCGATTGAAACTGCGATTCAGACGCCTTCGGGAATGCCGCACTGTGAGCATCGCCCGACGGCTGCCGAGCAGCTGAGCAAGAAGGATGCATCTCGTCCATACCGTGGCATAGGGGCCGCACGAGTCGCCTGAGATCAGCTGCATAAGGGCGGCAACAGATCAGAAGGGTATGCTGGTTGCCGCCTTGCACTGGTCAGTGAGTTAAAAGGTGACGGTGTCATTCCCGCTTCTTGGCAAAAGGAGCCCGGACTGCACTTGCTCGTGTGAATCCGACGATCTGACTTGTCCACAGGAGCCTTTACTGGCGCAAGAAGGACCTGCCCAAAGAAGACAAAGGTCTTTTTTTGCTTGAGAAGGCATCCGGCCTGACTCGTTGTGTCGAAGACCCCGTTCATCGTGTGCGCTGAAGGTGTACAAGGATGAGTGGTATCGGCAAGGTGTTGGCAACTCAGTCTTCTAAAGGTCCTTGCTTGAATAATGCCATACGAAGAAGCTAGGTGTGACACAGGTCTCAACATGGGAATCCTTGAATGCCACGTTCATTGTCTCCAAGCAGCAGAACCTCAGCTGCAATATCTGCGTGCTGCATAGCCGCAGCTTCCTGTCGGGAGTTCAGACAGGACTTGCCGTCTGCCGTTGTGATGAGTTTGGCAGGAAACGGACGCACCTCTCGAGCTTGTGCAGCAACCACCCGCGCCACCAGGCCTGTAATCACAAGGTCTACTTGTAGCCTATAGCACTCTTTCCTCGGAGTGTTTCCGGCACTCGACAGCTCTGCCTGAAGCCATGAGAGTCGAAAGGTGTTTAATCACTTTCACTTCAGCGACTCCTTCACGGCTCCCAAGCTGCAGCTTTAGCCACGAAGTGAGTCGAGTGACGGTGCTCTCAGGTGAAATCCTCTTTGGCCAGTGTGATGAAGCACGAGCCATGGACCTCCGTCTTTTCCTTCAGCTATGTGCTGTTTCTCAAGCTCAGGAACTTCGCTCGAGCCATGCCGCAGCGCGCTGCAGAGATCGAGCTGCTGCTGCCTTCCAGCTTCGTTTTGTCCTTGCGGGAAGACTGCCACGACTTCAAGAACAAGGCAGGGATCGCTCCCATTGCTTGCACTACTCGTAGCTTTTTGCGCGAAGCCGCTGCCAAGGTGGGATCTGCTATGTGGATCCACAAGCAGGACAAGCTGCAAGGTCGCCACATGGCTGGAGTTGGCATCTGCGCCTTTGTTTCAACCAGGATCGCACTCACAACTCCAACGGGGTGCGCCTCCTCACGGCGCAGGCCTTCAAGTTGGCCTAGGCTTGGCAATAGCGCAAGGCCTTCAAGCTGACCCGAGGAGGCTGAAAGAATGGCAGCAAATTGTGGCACGAGGCGGCCTCCCCAGGCCGCTCGGAGCCCTTCTTTCGTTGGAGCCTTGTTTTGGAGCCTTGGAGCTGAGGGCCTGGTGCAGAGATACCTGCCGAATCCTTTGCTGGTGCCGGGCTCGAGAAGGGCTTGTAGCCTTGTAGGAAGCTCTGCTCGAAGCGGCTTTTCTGTAAGACGCTCTGAGCAAGCTGTGTCGACTTTATAGACGGAGCTCCTCAAACAGATGCTAACAGTGCAAACAGAGAATTAACGTGACATGGAGAAGAAAGGATAAACAGCATCAACATGAGAGAACAAGTGGCTACTTGTAGACGAAGATATGCTAGGAAGAATCAGACGAAGCAGTAGTGGTGAACAGAAGCGTTCGGAGCGAACTTTAAATTCAGAGGGTGGCGTTGGAAAGCTTCGAGCAAGCGCTGCAGTGTTCACTTCCTTTATAGAAACACTCCCCTCCCCTCTCCCAAGGATGTGAGCCACAGCCTCTGTCAAACAGCAGTCCCCTACAAGCCTTAAAGCCTGCCAGTACTGCAGGCCCCTTCTAGTGTGACACACTGAAGCCAACTAGAGTTCGAATTTGGGTTTGTTGTTTGGGCCAGCAGGGTCTTCTTTCAGCTCATCTGGGCTTTCATCTTAGCAAGACTCTGGTCACACGTTTTCCGCTGCAGACGCTTGGAGTCTGCAAAGACGGGGTGCTTTCTATTCACGTTCTGGGAAAGGGATTTTGCAATTGTCCGGAAAATTCTCAATATGAGGTTGACATTAGCCTAAGCTGCTACAAACTACAAGCTAGTTCCGCAAAGCCACTGCGCCCATTGCCTCGTGAATGCATGCATGTGCTGCACTCGCATATGCTTGCAGCATCATAATTTATAGTCGTGGCTGAGATCACTGCAGCAGTTGTGTGCGAGTAACCCCCGGTCTCACATCAAACATGAACGCAAAGGAGAGTCCTCGTAGGAGGGCTCTTTCACCATGTGCTTAGGTGGCCGGCCACAAATGCGATTTCCGTGTGTATCTGTACGTCCCGACTACCATGCCGTTCATAGCCTTGTACTCGCCTGTGCCACGGCTGCACAAGGGCTGGAGATATGACTGTGGTCGTCTGTCGCAGCAAGGTATGGTACTTAAGATGTGGACATCAGATCTTCAACATCAACTCCACTGACCCTGAGATGGTCGTAACGAACACGAAGGCAGCCTTCCATGTTCGAACGTCGTGCAAAGTCCCTTACAGTCTTCAGCTCGGTGGAGGTTCACGGCAAGCTGCGTGAGGGAGCGTGGCTTGACAGAAGTTGAATGAGGCATGGTGACATGGAAGCTCCTCTACACCAAGTGGCTTTGCAAAGACCAAGGAACTACTCGGAGCTGGTACTTGGCCCAGAAAAGCTTCAGCAGCAGCTGACCTTGCAGGGTCTGCCGGCGGATTTTGTCAAGGCGCTGCCATTCGTCTAGCAGAATCAAGCATCTTTCTTGTCGGTTCTGTGCCTGAAGGTGTAATAGTGTGTGACTGTACCGGTCGAGTCTTGAGGGCTGTCGTCCCCCCCCTTCCTGACTGAATCTGGCTGACAACACTCGTCTCCGCATTGCCTCTGCTTGCCCGGCTTCAAAGTACTGCAACCTGCTGAGAAGATGCAGGCCGCCCTCAAGTCAAACAGCTTGAGCAAGCCGTAGTCCAAGTGCATGCCGCGGAGATGTGGTCCTCCCAATCTCCCCGAACGTCCAAGCCAAGCAGAACTGGCAGGCAAGGCTGCTGCCTGCCATGAAATCCAAGTTGGCTCTGCTCATGGAGGTCGGGGGTCTTGATGATCCCAAAAAGTTAAATGACTAATTGTGAATTCGATCAAGTGTGATCAGTTATGATTAAGTACTAAGTGTTTTTGATGGGCTATCCACTCGTCATGAATACTATCACTCAACAACCCATCACATCTGTCCGGAATTCGTCAGTGCTGAGGTGATGTACTTTGATGTCGCACTGGCTGACCTCGAAGCCACTAACTATGAGCTCTACGGCACCGGGCTGATCTGGTCGACATTTTCTTGCACGAAATTCCATAGATTATGTATCCAGGCATTGATATGATGCTGGACGCTGACTTGAACCTGTGGCTGATCGAGGCCGTGCCGACAGACGGTGCCTGCTTCTTCTCGGTTCGGTCCACCCGAGAGATCCCCTGCCTCTTGCAGGTCAACTCCTCGCCGGGCCTCGAGAAATCTCTCGGGGCTCGCAAAGAAGCTGCCAGGTGCTCGGCTTTCCCAGCGCCAGCGGCCTTGTTCATCAACGATCGTACAAGCCCTTGGCTAGAAGCATGCCGCAGTTCATACCACTTCCAGATGTGGGACATTCGCAGCGTGTGTAAGGCTCGAGAATGCTGAGGTGGAGGCCATTCTTCCCCCTCTCGTTGGCCTCCAGTCTTGAGCTGAGCCAGAGCCAAAAGATGAGACATAGACTTTGCACCAAACTAGTTGTGGACGAAGAGTCGCCATCTTGTCGCTGGCGGTAGATCTGATGAATCCTGGGCTCTATATGCAGTCTCTCGAGCTTGTAGTTCGATTCTGCACCTGCTCAGAATGATGCGGCAGAGCCGTCACGAACTTGTGGTTTTATAGAGAGATGCCAGACCGCCGACTATGACATGGCTAGTTTCAAGCCTTAAGCATATTTTATACAAGTGGACAACCACGAGATGCCGAAATCTCTATCACCTGTAACAGTCTCTCAAGCATAAGTATGCTGACTTCGGTGTTGCAGCAGTGTTGTGTAATCTGATCCTATGAATCACAGGCCTTGCAGTTATACAAATGTTGCCCAAAGGGAGGTGACACGCCATGGCAAGCGATGCCTCCTGGTCTATCCAAGTCTTTGCAAGTCCGGCCGCTGTCGCGCGCTGACGAGGATGATGAGTCGTATTCCGACGAAGAAAGCGCCGCGCACTTCGATTTGCAGCTGGTCTGTGACCGGCCGCCTGTTCTGGAAACCAGGACATCTGCGCAGGTGGTCAAAGCCGTTGGCAGTGCGATCCACAGGTGGGGGTGCACGGGAAGCCTTCAGAAGCTTGTCAGCCTAGACCCTTGTGAATACCCTCCAGGTCACTGCCTTGTTCAGGGGTGGTTGTGGACACGTGTGGTAGTCATGTAGATCTTGAATGAGGACTGCAAACCAGCATGAAGAGGGAATCATCAGGCCATGCCGGTTGTAGGTCATAGTGGGCAAGATCAAGGCTGCACATTTACCGCGGCCCTCGTATCAAAGTGTTCTGCTTGGTTTCAATTCTCGTTCAGGCGTGCTGTGCCAGGCACGACCTGGAAGCAACAGAAAAGAAGCCAGGCAGACCCTGAAGCTACATTGACGCCAGCACTCTGGTGAGAAGCTCTGGTCAGTCCCAGGCTCCCAGGCGAGGTCCTATGCACATCTCCCTGTGAGGGTGGGCTCCAAGTTCGGGATCTACGATGCCTCCCTGTCTCCCGTGCCGGAAGACCTGGAGCAGGAGGAGACTCCAGAGCCCCCAGAGGAGTCGCGGGCGAAGCGACTCTGGAGGTGGGGATCCTGGGGCAGTCGACTAATTCTAGGGCCTAGAGGTGGATGTTCCTCTGCCTTCTGGGAAGTCGAGGCGAACTGCTACCACGGGGTGCGACATGAACGAGATGAAAGCCAAACCCAAGAAGCACCGCGGCAGTTGTTTTGCGACAGCGTAAGCCGTCTAAGGTAGTGTATACCGCTTGCCACGGCCTTTGGTGAGTTAGAACAAAGCAAAACGCTCGGGAGTGATTCTCCGGTCGGAGTCGATTCAGCCACGTGAGGCTGGTCCGTCGAAGGAGTCTGGATCTGGATAGTCGTGCTACGGCCCTGACGGCCGTGTCCAACAGAGGCCTCGGAGCAAAGCTCTCTCAAAGTGGGCTGAAGCTGGACTCATTGGATGGAGGCTCTTGGATCCAGTCTTGCGGTTTATGTGTTCTTGGACCTTTTTTGAGGGGTGTCATCTGCAGCTAGTGACTTAGTGAGTGGAGGAAGCCAACCAAGCTCTGTGCCATCCTCTACGATGCAAGACCTGGGACTACCTTTCATTTTCAGGCGGAGCAGCCATCACCTGAACCGCTTAGCATCCGGCAAGAAGCTGGGCAGCTTGGCCTCGCTGGCCGGCTCCCTGCCCTCCAGTCCGCAGATCCTCGAAGACAATCTCAGGCAGGAGGGTGCGAAAACCAGGGCATCGATTCTGGATTTCGAGCACCTCTTCGTGCAATACTTCGTCGAAGCGCCTCGGCCTCGCTTGTGAAGACTACGACGTAACGGGACTGTCACAGGGTGCTTTCGCGGGTTTTCTCGTGCTCGATAGTGTGCTCGATGCACGTAGTCCTTCAGGTCATGCCGTGCCGAGGACGCTTTGCCGGACGCTTCTCTAGAGAACAGAGACCTCCCGGCACTGTTCGTCTTGCCCAACCTTCTGCATGGGAAGTTGCCCGAGAGTGGAAAGAAGTGCTGCTGGACCTTCTCATGCAACACAAGGCATTGATCCTGCAGCACTGGCCAGAGCTTCAACTCACCAGGAAGGGATTGGAAAGGAGGCTGAATGAAGAGCTGGTTGTTAAGGACGAGCTATCTGGTCCAAAGAGCCGTGTGCTGCTGACGCTGGCACCAGAGCAAGTGTGCCACAGACTCTTGTGGGCGTTGGGTGACAGCATCCCAACGGAGGTGGCTCTCAAGCAAGTTGAACGTCGCTTGCAAGAGCATTTCCCCCAGAGTCAGGTGCGTTGCAGCGATAACTGGCTCTGGCCAGCAAGCGTGATCCGCACACTTTTTGGAATCACTTGTGTGTTGTTGGTCGTGGGCCTGCGTTCGGCCCTTCTGGCTGCTCTCATCGTTTACGAGACAGAACCGCCCATCCCCGGCAAGAAGCGGAAGGTGGACGTGTCTGGTCCCACCTGGGAGGAGCTGCTCGATCAGCTCTCCGCTAGGCTTATCCTGGCATCGTCCTTGGGATACCTTTGGTTGCTGTACGGGATAGCAGCGGCGTTTCCACTGCGCTCTTTGCACAGCCCATTTCAGCAGCTGGCTCAGTCGCTGCAAAGCTCACCTTTTTCTAGCAGTTCCAGTCTGAGCTGGTTCCGGCGTTTCCTCCGTACATGTTATGTCATCGTGCAAGGATAACCTCACACCGTGCAATTAGAGCCTGTTTTCCACACCGGACTAGAGATCCAATTCCTTTGTCCTGCAGGCGAGATTTAGGTTGTTTGGCTGCATACTCCCGGACTGGGACGCTGCTTTTCAGGACCCACAGCACCAGTGGCTGGTGACGTGACGAGAGTTGCAGAGCTTTTCCGGGGTTGCGATTCGCAGGATTGCAGCTCCCATGGCCGCCTGTGGCATTCCTGCCGCAATGGCAGTGCGGTTTGACAGGCAGGGGTCTGCCAGGAACATCGATTTAAGCTGTTGTTTTCCTTTTGTGCATTTTGTGTTATGCACCGTGCACCCCATACGCCGTCACGAGCAACTGAATTACTCTTGATCGAAGGCTGGGCTTGGGCCTACTGGTGCCGGCACACGACCGGCCAGTCGGCCGGGAACCTAAGACAGGGCAGGGGTGCGCCTTTCAAAGAAGGGCGATGAAGCCAACAAGACACTATTGAATTATTGAGACTTCTGCCGGAGATGAGGCTTTCACACGGCGGCACTGGCAGCTGCCTGTGCCCGGATGCAAGGAGAGGGCTGCCCATGGAGAGCAACTTTCAGCTTTACGTGAACTCAGGTGCACTGCCACCTTTGAACATGGCAGCTGCATGGAGCATCCGCTCATCCCTTTATTCTCATCACCATTTCCTGATGGTGCCGCGACGCAAGCATGCATTCTGCAAGCTTAGGTCAGACTAGTGACCGTGCTAGCTGTCTGCTCAGATGATCCGAAGTGTTGAGGTCCTTCTCTTTGGCATGCACCTGGGTGCTGCCTTTGGCTGGGGGCCGAACTCTGCTTTGAACTCTCTTGTGCGACATTACCAGAAGACGCGCGATTGCCATGAGGTTTCGTCCTCTACTTCGCGATGATGAAATGGGCTGTGCTTGGCGCCGCCACCGCTACTCAGCTCGATAGCAAGAGCAGCGGTGTCATCTCCAAATGCACCGACTTTCTCACGATTTTGCGCATTCGAGTATGAGTCAGTATGAGGTCGTTTTTGCTGGAATGCACCTCTTCGTTTGGTACCAGGCGCCCACGCCCAGACCTGGAAGCATGTCGAGACTCTGTGGCTGGCCTCCTCCGCAGGCAGAGTTCACAAGCGTGAGTCTGCTGAAAGCTGCACAGCCGTGGACCCCAGTTTCGCAAGACCCGACAGCTGATCTCCGTGTCTGGGAGGGGGTGTCTTGCCATGACGTGCCTGGACACACTGAGGTTGCAGTGGGCCTGCGCACATCTGATTCCAATCCTCGGTGCCTCGGACAAGCTGAAACAGCATACTTTTAAACTATATAGGATGTGTTACACTTTGCTTGATGGTACGAGGCATGCTGATTTCTGCTTCTCTCGAAGTGGAAAGTGGCGTTGCTCGAGCACTGGTGTTGTTCATCTGCGAATCGCAGGCCAGGATCGCTACGGACAAGTTTGAGCAGCAATGTTGTTCATGACAGGAGATCATCCCCACGAAAATGTGCATTCGAATGCTCCTGAGCTCTGCTTGACGGCACCATGATTTGGCTGCGCCTCTCTAGTGACTCTAGCTTTCCACCAGAAACTGATGGAGTCGGTGGAAAAAAGCTGCCGGTCCAGGCATTTTTCGGCATTCCTCGGGAGTACATATCTTATATTATGTATTCTATGTTCTATGTTCTGTATACTATGTTCTGTTCTATAAACTATATACTTTATGCTGTACTTTATACTATATATTATATACTGTATATTATATATTTTATGTTTTATACATTACATACTGTATTATATATCATATACCATATATTCTGTATTATGTTTATGTACTATAAAATATATACTATATATTATATGTTATATACTATATGTTGTATAGTGTATACTATATTATATAGTATATACTATATATTGCCTGTTAGAAACGATATATTATGTATTATATACTGTATAGGATATATTATATGCTGCGTATTATATGCTATATACTATATATTATGTATTACATACTATATATTATGTATTATATACTATATATTATATACTATATACGATATATAGTATACTACATACTATGTATATATATATAATATTATATTATATTTAATGCTTTTTTATATAGTATATACTATATACTATAGATTATATGTTATATTCTATATTTCCGTATCTCACAGCTCGCAGCGAAGCTTTTGTTTCACCCGAGGCTGGACCTGCTGAGATTCGCTGCTTCGGGCAGGCGCGTTTGGGCCCAGACTCCACATGGAGCCGAAGAGTTTAGGGTTTTAGGATTTTAGGGTTTAGGGTTTAGGGAGGTATTCAGAGTACCAGTGGTACCGTTGCTGTAACTGTTGCTGCTGCTTACTATTATTGTTACTACAACTCTTACGATTACGAATGCTGTTATGATTATTACTATTACCACGACTACTACTATTGCAATTGCCTTTGCTATTAGTAGTATTCTCACTGAGTCGGTCGGCACCGAAGCTCCGAGGCCTCGAGCAAGCCTTACCTTGGACGACCTTCCATCGAAGGGGGTCTTAGACGCTTTGCTCATGGCATGTCATGTGTGTCAGCACGCTGTCAACAACTGCTCTGCAGCTTGCGCTGACATCTAAGGAGCTGGTCTTCATGCGCGCTGTTGAGAGCCCGCATGGAGTTACGTAGCCGAAAAGACAGCTGTCTCCGCACCCAGTGGTTGCTGCAAATGTATCCACGGCATACAGCTCCATGACAAGCCAGGGCATGCACCGGATGAATCTGCAAGTTGGCCTGTCGGGACCTCAGACAAGGGCCCTCGGAAGCCCATGCGCACCCGAAATGCTGGTTGTCCTGTCCATTGTTGGCTAGCCGAACTCCTCAAGCTCATCAGCCAATCTCCAGGCTGCTTTGTTGCGCCTGGCCGGAAATGCAGAGGCCGACTCAAGCACGCCTGGTGTCCAGCATGTCCACACTCGAAGCTCCGTTTGCTTTTTGTCCTTCCTTGCTCAGGATTTGTTAAGCCCTGCTCAGAGTGAAGCCATCCGCAAGAACTGTGTCGTGCAGACCCTCTGGCTCAAGAGGTTGAAGCACTGAACCAAGTTTCTACCACTAGGAACGGGGGCGTGTCAGCTCCGTGCGATATGCGCTGTGCCGCGCTGCCGCGCCATGCCTGATACAGGTTGCATCTTCCGGCGCAAGCCAAAGGCTTTTCTGTTGGGATGGCTGCTGTGTATGGCATGGCAGTTCACTGCGACGGCTGCGACCAGATGCAAGGAGTGGGATAACGCGGAGTCGGCTCTGCTACAAACAGTGGCTCACTTAGCTGACGCCCAAAGGGTTGGATCTACCATGAGAGACGTCTCCCTCGATGCTGCGATCAACTCGACCCAGAAGGTGGGCAACAAGGTGAAGCAGCTTTTCTTGGCTGGGAAATTGGGGAGAAGCAGCCGAAGCAGCTCGTACTTTCTGGAACCATCGCGTCTGCAACACTCGACAGGGACCAATGTGTCCAGGAAGTCCAGTTGGCTTGAACAGTCGGCAGGCTTGGTAGGCAGGGACGGAGCATGCATGGGCAGCATATGCAAGTATCTTAAGCATGCTTAAACCGTCAGAGAGGTCACCGAGCATGGACCAGTTCGAGTAGTTAAGGCCAGCTTGGTTCGTCGAATCGTCCAGGTGCCATGTTAGCGACCGTCTCCATCACAATGGCAGACATTCTCTGGATGATTCCGTACATCACGAACGAAGTCACAGGTCCTCTGGCCCAAGGCTTCGGAGGTGTGCTCTGTGGGATCATTACGTTTGAACCTTCAGATCACTCCCCCGAGCCCCATACACATCAGTAACATCCTGTCTTGCACGTTTGCTTTGATGGCAGACAGTACAAAGGACGGTGGAACTCGCTGTTCTTCGTGGTGCTGCTCCAAGTTTTGGCCACCCTCTCTATTCTGCTGGCGGATGAGGAGGACCAGAGCTTGAAGCGTGACTCCCACGCGCAGAGGTGGATCGATGTTGCCAGCGCCGCCCGACACGGGAAGTTCCATGTCCGGGACGCCACACCTGAAGCATCAAGAAGCTGAGGCCGCGCTTCTCTGGCTCTATGCTTTCTACCTGTACCTGGATGAGCATGTCTTCCAGAAGGCGCTGGCGGCGGAGCCGGAGGCCACCCCCGAAAGCGCCCCTTTGTTCGCAGCTTTGAGTGGCTCTTCGTGTTCGGATACTGCATCTGGATAGCCCAGCTCGTTTGGTCGGTTGCAGGGTGTCTGTGTGTGTTGCGTGCCTGGCCTGTTGAAGCCTTCGGAAGCCATAGCTTTGGAATACCATAGGCACCGCGGCACCGATCGAGCTAGCAGCTAGCAAGCCACTGCTGACAATGTTGTTGGCACGGTCGCATCTCAGGAAGCGCTCGACGAGACATGCTGTGACACAGCTCGTGGTACGACCAAGTACAGCAGAGGTTGCTCGGCTGGACATTGGTAGCCAATTGGCACTCCCAACCGTTGGCTTTCTTGCTCCGTGTTGCTCCGTTACAGTAGGCATGCAAGGAAGGTCTCGTGTACCATCAGCCGAGAGCTCTGTCCCGATGATGCTGTCATGATCTTGCCTGCCTCAAGCTGCCTTGCAAACGACCGGTCACGCTTCTGATTGCCTTCTGATGAGGTTCCTTTGTCGTGCTCGCCCTTCTGAACTCGGTGGACCAGGTGATCGTCTTTGTGCCCTTGGTCTCCACCGGCATGGTGACGGCCATGGAGCTCCAGGTAGCTTCATCTGCAATTCGTTAAGTTCGATCGCCGAAGAAGTGCAGTCCAGTTCCAGTGGTGGTGGGGCTCCTAGCCCAACAGTATGTCAAAAAGAGCAATGCCATCTCAGAAGAGAGCAGCGCTCCAAGCACAGTCTGTGCACTCGCACCCCATACTTCGGTCCGTCTAGGGACGGACGACAGCCTAACACTTTCTTCCAGCCCTCCGACAGAGGTTGGCGTCCTCATCAGCTCCACTTTGTCAATTGCAGCATGCTTTGCAGCTGGGCAGCTAACGTGTGTGGTGGACACCATCAAGGCAGGGGATCCGATTCGCAACAGAAGAGCTGATCATATCCTGAGACTCTCCCAAAGCCTAGCGCTGAAACGAAGAAATGCAGGCCATCCCGCTCTGGTTGCTGGTAACCTTCGTCGGGGTGGGTGCTTTTGTTGGCGGCTTCGTATCGGCCTGAGCTGCGACGATTCCCTGTAGGAGGGCTTGCCGGCAGGATGCTGCTTGTCAGTTTCTGCACAGCGAGAGTAGAAACACATGCATCGAATAACGATGCAAAGCAACGCGGCCAGCCAGTCATTGAGTTCGCGCTCATGTGCGAGAGTGGCAAAACATGGTCTCCATCAAGCGAGGGATGGCAAGAGCAGCTTCTTTTTCACTGCCTGTGCGCTTGGCCACAGGACTTCTCCACGAAAGCCGTGATTTTCGCGGGAAGCCCAGCAAGCCGTTTTTTGCTTCAGATTTCTGGCCGACCACGGACATGCTTCTAGTAGGCAGCTTCAGACAATAATGAACTCCCCTACATTCCCCTACCAACCGGTTCCATGTTCCTGATTTTATGCCAGCTGCAAGCTTGCGAATATCAATGAGGTTAATGATGATCCCGACCTGGCGCGAATCAGTGTCCAGGCCGAGTCTTGAAGTATCGCCTGCCAAGTCGTCTGCTGAAGTAAGAGAGCACCTTGGCGTGCCGCCTGTCCTGGAGTAGCATTGAAAACCCGGAAGCCAGAGCAGCTATTCTAAGATCCCGCCACGTTCGTGCAAGCTGAGAACTCCTGACACGCTGCAGGATTGACTTGTTTATTGGACATGGAACACTAGATGATGGACCACGGAAGCAGGTTACAATCTGAGACTGCATCGGTGAGTCTTAACTTGTGATCGTCCCAAGCAAGCGAGCTGCAACGCCATCCTCGCACCCCAAGTTAGCCAGAGTTTCCAACTTTCATTCTTTGCCTCTGCCGCACTGGCACAAGAAGACATGTCCTGCCCCGCAGGTTTCTGCATGCAACTTCTGCATTGAGCTTGAGGATGCGATGCAGAGGAAGGCCTGGGCCGGAACGGAAACTCTCAGAGGCGTCTTCTTGTTGAAAACTGCGATGCGTTTCAATGTTTCTCTCCTCTCCTCTGCCTCTAGAGACCGTGAGGAAGTTTAGTACACAGAAACTGAACCGTGCCTGAAATTCCAAAGCTCTGTGTGATTCCTTGTCTCGTGCAGGTGTGCCTGGTGGATCATGCCGCCTCCTTAAGAGGTATAAATTTGAGGATGTCAGCCGAGCCAACTGCCTTAGACTACAGCTGGTAACGTCCGCGGGCAGATGTGCGAGTCCTTCACCGTAAGAAGCCACCTCAGGCTGGCGAGCTGTACACAGAGCTGAGCGCAGCTGACCACTGGGCCCCGGGCTTGAACACTTGGGAGCTTCCGGGTAGCCCGCAGCTTCCGCAGCTTGGCGTAGCCACTCCATGCAAGGACACCGCTGTTTGTGCGGGTGCCCAGCTTCGGCTCGTCGAACCCCAGCTTCCTCTCAGAGCCGGGACGGATAGAAACGGAGAGCCGGAGCAAACCGAGGTCCGAGTTTGCCTCGGCGTCGCTCCGTCGTCAGGCGGAGAGAGCTGGAACGCCTGTGAAGGGGAAACTTGGACTTGGGCAGATTTGGGCAGGCTTGGCTGCTTGCAGCTCAGGCTGGACCCCGAGGCTCCCCGACTTCCTTTGAGAGCCACTCTGAGTCTAGTCCAGCGCCAGAGCTCATTGGCACGAGGAGGCGCTGATGGTCACAGACTTGCTCCTCAGCTTCCTGGAGCAGTGTGACATGCCCGCGGAGCTGTGAGGGTCCCAGGGCCCTAGGCTCCGGTCCTGCGCGGAACTTCACAAGGCCGTGCGCGAAGTTCTGACTGAGGCTAGCTGACCTTCTCTCGCCAAAGCACGCGGATGGTCTTAGAGACATACTGTTAGCCCTGGCCTCAGCCAGGATGAGACCAACAGTTTTTTTTCCAAACACAAGCACACATCCGAAATGTGGCAGGCTCCGGATGGGATCGCGATGCCAGAGACCTACCTGTAGTGAGGATTGTGACGGCTCCCGCGTCCCGTCGCACTTTGCCAAGGCCAGAGTCTCCGCCATGGCCTCCGGACTTGTCGCGGACTTGGTGATCTGGGCATAGAACTTAAGCGCTCCTTGGATGGAGAGCTTGCCGTTTGCCAATGTTGAGGAGCCTCACATGCCCGGCAGGGGCCCCAGTCGCAGGGCTTCAACAACGGCGGCAGAACGAAGCCTCCTGGCAGGACACCGTGCACGTGCTTCTGCCCTGTGGGGTCCAGCTCCTGGCTTGCGAATTGCGTCGAGAGAAAAATAGATCTGCGTTCCGGGCTTGTCTGCTGCTGGAGGTGTTGCCGCCCTTGGCGCTGAGCTTTGACGTCTGCTCCCAGCGCGTGCCACGGCAGGAAGTTATGTCAGCTCGGTCCTTGCTTCTGCTTCGTTCCTGCGAGGCTTGTGAGACAGGCAGTCTGACGCTTCAACTCCGTGTCTCGGCATTAAGCGTGTCCAAGGGGTCATCCAGCACTGCCGCGGTGCCGTCGCCATTAGGGTCAGCACATGTCCGTGCTAGCAGGCGACCTGACCACCTGGCTGTTACCTTCCTTGCCTCCTCTGTGGCCGGACGACTGGACCCCGAAGAAGAGGCGCGGGGGAAGCGGAATCCCGGAAGGGCCCGAAGCCGAGACAGGGGCATTCTCTTCCCATGCCAGGATGGTGCACTGCCCGTCCGTGCTCTTGTCTGTGACGCCGCAGGCCTGAAGAATTTTCTCTAGTATGGTATAGTCTAGTCTAGTCTAGTCTAGTCTAGTCTAGTCTAGTCTAGTTTAGTCTAGTCTAGTCTAGTCTAGT